ATAATATATAGGGTATCTATTTAAAAAAATACAACAAAAAAACTTTGATATTTTTTATTTATTTGGGACACTCTGTATCTTGTAAAACTATTTTTAAATTGTAGCTCTAATAGTCCTTCAACGAACCCCAAACTTATAATTTGTAAAATTCTCATCGTTTAGCTACAATACTCCGTGTCGTATGTGGTGAACAACCCTGTATACAAAAAGAATATACTTTGAAAAATATAATTAAAAAAATGTTTTTATATTTTTACTTTAAAAAAGATAAAATAAATAACGTCAAAGCAAAAAAGTATATACAGGGTGGTATCTCACTGACTACGCAGAGGCTCCAAGGAGAACTATACAGTTTGTATGAACCTATGTAGGTTAATTTAGACCATTTTTTAAAAATAGTTACACATCAAAGTTGTATTTTTTTAATGGAACACCCTATATATTAATTTATTTTCGGATTCTAGGAGAAAAATAAAGGTGAGTTTCGTTAGAAAAGCAAATGACTAAAATGTAAGGTTTTTGATATATGTAACGTTTTCTAAAAATGAAGATCAAATTTAAAATTTTGATAAAAGCTACCTTAATCGGAATTCACCCGGTATAACCTAATAATTAGTTAAAATAACATTTGAACTTTAAATAAAACTAAAATTTGTCCCGAAAAGTTATACAGGGCGAGACAAAATTAATATTGAACATTGGTTACACTTAAAAGCAAGTTACTATTTTATTTTAAATGGAACACCCAGTATATTATAAATTACAAGCTGCACAAGCTCACTTTCAGTGCAGTTTATTAAGATAACATGATATAAAGCATAAAATCTATGGTTAAATTAAATTAAATAAAACTATAGTCTTTTAAACTAGGTTTATTTATGTTAAAAATTTAAATAATGCATTTTTTGCATTATTATCGTTTTTAGAAAATTCATAACAAGGCAAATCAGACAAAGAAATAATATACAACGTAACCCCTTAAAAAAAAGGTTTGAGTCATATTTCGAAAATGACAGCTCCCAGAAAAAATCTAGTTACGCCTCTGGATTCTACGTGAAAAACGGCACGGGACTCAATGTTTACCTTTTCTATAAGTTATAAGATAACCAAGACACAAATGGTGTCGGAAAATGCAACAATTTTAAATTTCCCTGTATTTCAGAAACTAAGATGGCTGGGACTAATCTGCGTGTAGCATTTTTAATTTCATGAAAATGTAGCATAGTAATGTGAAAACCGTATCTTTGAGTTGCTACCCATAAAAAACACTAGAAAATGAGACATCCTGTACATTCTATGAAATATTTCATCAATATAACCTTTATTCACCTAAACTTTCAGAATATTCTCATTTTACATCAAATGAAATATGTATTTTATAAATAAATTCCAACTAATTGCACTACATTCACGTCAAAAAACATCTTTAAAACCAAATCCGGATACAAAAACATCAAATTCATATTCAAAACTCGAAAATATCATTCAATTAAAACATCCTACCTTTTTAATCCATGCTAATCCGAAATATCACACACAAACCGCGCGAATTTTCACTAATTTTCCGCGATATTTGCTGAAACACGATCCAGAATTTTATTTCGCCACGGAAACGGTTAAAATAGAATCAAATAAAATTTTCTATTCGGCATTCTTGTCGCTGTTTGTCAAGCGCAGGAAAAAACAATCGCTTTTTTCCATCTGTCAAACAGCGAGAGTTGCTTGGATACCAAGTCAAAGCCTACTAAGTTAGATTTATGGATGAAATTAATAGATTTTGCTGGAGAAAGGATTTTAATATTGATTTTTTGTATTGTTATGGAATATTTGAGTGTTTTAATGGAACATTTTATTTAAAAATTGAAAAATGGTATTTAATATAGAATTTTTGAATAAATTGATGGTATATTCTTAGCCTTTTTTGTAATAATTTATATTTTTACTGATCATTTTTAAAATATTTTTTCTTATTATGTATCTATTATTAAAAAATGCAGTATTTAATGCAATTTCTTGGTTTTTTGTATTCTGATTTCAATGTCATATACAGGGTGGCTCACCTCGTTCGCCTCGGTTGATTATATGAAATCGAAAATATGTAGACAAATTATTTTATGGGTATATGTGGGGAGGTAATGTGCACAATTTAAAATTATTTTGAAATATACAGGGTGTTTCGGAACTAAGATCTATACTAAAGTTATATTTTTTCTTCTTTGTGCCGGAAAAAAAACGTATATTTTGATACTTCCAAGGGAATCAAAATTTACAGGGTATTTTCCGTTGAACTAGAACTATGAAATTTGGCAAGTACAGTACGTCTGCTGGATCTGTATCTATGAACACAGATTAGGTATCCTATAAGTATACAGATAAAAATCTTGTCCCTAATTCTTCTTCTTCTTCTTCTTCTTTTAGAAGGCGTATCGCCTGTTTAGTTCCGGTTTCCTCCTCGTCTAAGCAACTCTTGCGAGGTTGACTGCCAACTGTCTTGCCAACGTTTAGGTGGTCGTCCAGTAGGTCTTCTGCCATGGGGTACGTTGTTGCGAATTATTATGGCCATTCTGTCGGGGCCCATTCTATTGACATGCTGGTTCCATTCTCTTCTTCTCTGCCTTATCCATCTGACAACGTCGTTTGTTTGGCACTTTTCTCTTATGTCTATATTTCTCTGTCTGTCCCTCAATGTGTATCCAGTTATCATTCTTAAGGTCTTCATTTCAGTAGTTCGTAGGATTCTCTTTGTTACTGATGTTTCAGCTCTGGTTTCCGTACCATATGTCATCACTGGTCGTATGCAGGTTTTGTATATTCTTGACTTACATTCTGTACTCAAATGTTTGTTTTTCCATATGGGATATTTAAGATGTCCTGATTATTATTGCGGCAGCTTTATTGGCTTGTTTCCTTACTTCTTCTTCCAGGAATCCTGAGCTTGTAATTTTGCATCCGAGGTATTCGAATGACATTATCTGATCAATAGTTTTGTTTTTTATTACCAATTTGCACCGTAGAGGCTCCTTTGTAATGGTCATGCATCTGTTTAGTTCCGGTTTCCTCCTTGTCTAAGCAACTCTTGCAAAGTTGACTGCCAACTGTCTTGCCAACGTTTAGGTGGTCGTCCAGTAGGTCTTCTGCCACGGGGTACGTTGTTGCGAATTATTATGGCCATTCTGTCGGGGCCCATTCTATTGACATGCTGGTTTCATTCTCTTCTTCTCTGCCTTATCCATCTGACAACGTCGTTTGTTTGGCACTTTTCTCTTATGCCTACATTTCTCTGTCTGTCCCTCAATGTGTATCCAGTTATCATTCTTAAGGTCTTCATTTCACTAGTTCGTAGGATTCTCTTTGTTACTGATGTTTCAGCTCTGGTTTCCGCACCATATGTCATCACTGATCGTATGCAGGTTTTGTATATTCTTGACTTACATTCTGTACTCAAATGTTTGTTTTTCCATATGGGATATTTAAGATGTCCTGATTATTATTGCGGCAGCTTTATTGGCTTGTTTCCTTACTTCTTCTTCCAGGAATCCTGAGCTTGTAATTTTGCATCCGAGGTATTCGAATGACATTATCTGATCAATAGTTTTGTTTTTTATTACCAATTTGCACCGTAGAGGCTCCTTTGTAATAGTCATGCATTTGGTCTTATTTGTGGAAATTTGCATGTTAAGTTTTTCTGCCTGTCTGTTAAAAGCTTGTAGCATTCTTTGAAGGTCGTCCTCTGACTCTGCAATAAGTACTGCGTCATCGGCATAGCATAATATGTTTACTTTATGCATTCCCATTCGATATCCTAATCCAGTATTCTTGACGGTTTTTATTACTTGATCCATGATTGTATTGAATAACAGAGGGCTGAGACTGTCGCCTTGGCGAATACCAGTTGTAGTTCGAAGATGCTGCGTTAAGGTAAAGTTTGTTCTTATTTGTGGTACGTTCGTCCCTAATTCGTGGTACGAAAATTGTTTTTTATGACGACGTGCAAACGAGTAAAATTTCCTGTGCGCAAAAATAAACTCGCGTAAAATAACAATAAACAGCGTAATAGAGAGATATCGCTAAACCGAATAGCGTGCATGGACGTTAATGAAGCCAGGTGTTATTTCCTTTACGTGAGGTGGTATTAACTTTCTTCATTTATAGTTATCGGATCGGAAAGAATTCTGTTCGCGTCGGCGTCGCGTCCGCTATTTAAACTTAACCTAACTTTGAATTTAAAACTTTGAAATTGTTCTGTTTACTAGGTATTTTAAAACTAAAGGGCTAAAGTGCTTATTTCCAGTGCTTTATTGTTCAACGTCTGCCAGTAGGTTTAGGGCAACAAGCAACAAATTCTCTTAGAAGGGCTAAGTCGTCATCTGCTGTAAACCTAAGCCTCTTTATAGGTTCTTTAATATTGGAAGAGGTGGAATCCATATTTTGGGCCATATTTATTTAATTAAAACTAATCCCAGCTACTTAAATATCAAATTACCTAATAAAACTAAAGTAATAATTCAAAACAATTCAAACATAACCTAAAATAAAAGATCTCGCCGGCCGGCCCCGGTTGTCAAATACCCGCACATGCCCATTTAAGCAATTTTTAAACGTTATTTAGCAATAGCGCTTGGCGTAATTGATCCGCAAATTACGTCAGGCGGTAACGTTATTAGCGGGTGTTGCGTTAAAAATTGACTCGCGTATATCGTAACCATGATAAGGTAAATACTGCATGACGCTATTCGGTTTTCCGATATCTCTCTAATAACTGTGCCGGTCAGGCGCTGTGCACAGTTTTAGAGGCCATAAGTGGGCGTGTTATGTGCGCAAACTAGTAACGTAACTAGTGCCCGATTACGAAAATTGAAACCACGAAAAACAATAAAGAAAAAACAAAGTTTATATAATCTGTGATAATAGTAACAATAATTACAATCACAAACGCAAAAAATATCTAAAACAAACATTTAATAATTAATTTTTCTTTATTTTACAACAATAAATAACATTCAAATAACAAAATAAAAAAAGATAAAACCATTAAAATTTCTTCTTCTTTTTATCATCAGGCTTACTCTGAACCTTCGTATTGATCCTCAATGGAGGCAACTTGACCAAACTCAACTTCGAACCTCTCACCACCGGATCAGGTACTTCCTGTTTCACATCCTTCACCTGTACCTTATCCTTCTTCTTCTTGCGTCGCTTCACATCGCTCACACTGTCGCTCTGAGTACCTGGAGAACTCTCCTTGGTAACAGTAGTTGTCAATGTATCTGAACGATTTGCCCTTCTAGCACTCTGATCAAAATCCACTACCGATTGCTTGGTCATGGTAAAGGACTTTTTGCTGGCCGATTCAAGAGTAACGTTTATTGGGTGCTCGTGTGACATACTTGACGCACTGAGCTGGTCTTTGGATTCTTGGTACTCTCTGTTCAACTACAAAACATGTTAAATTTAAATAATTGCAAGTTTATAGTAAGGGCTGGCAAAGGTTAGTCTTGGGTCGAGATTTCCGTATGTAAGAAGAGTTTATATTGTACTGAACAAAGAGAGGACAGTAAACACGTTGCCAAACGTATGAAATAAACCGAGAAACTGTGCACATCGCTAAGAGACGTGGAAGGGGATATAGCAGATTTGTCGCAGTTGACCGGTCGACCCAATCAATACTTCTGTCAGTACCAGGTGGATGACACTTCTTATGGGAGAACTGGCAATGGTTGAAAACTTGACTACAAGCGATTTTCTAGGAATCTTCCTTACCGATAAATTATTGACAAGAGTGACAGATAAAGCCTTGACGTTCTTTCAGTATTCCAGTTCATTTCTTTTTCTTTCTAAAGTGTGCGTTGAAAGGAGACAAAAACAATTTTTGGTGGCCCATAATATGTTATTCGAACACCACTTTTCTCCTTGTCGGTTCGTTGACGTTGACTTGTCGCCATTTTATTTCTTTTGTTTACACGCTGCATTTTGCTTTGCAAATTTAATACATAAATTATTTAGGCAAATATAGGTTTTTAATAAAACTCCTCGGACTAACGTGTAGGTAAGTGTTGATAATTTTTTTTTCATCTTAACATGCTCATTGTCGTTCTCCTGATTTTAGGTGACAGAAAAGGATCATCAAATCAAATTGAATTTTATATTTTCCTTCCTATTTATCCTTCCTAAATATCAACGAGATGAGCCATCGGAAGAAAGGGACCATAGTACAAAACAGAAAGGTGATCTTTTTCTTTCCACTTCGGATATTGAAATTATTATATACTGTAGTCGTGTTCGGCATTATGCTCTGAGAAATATAGATAAACAAAGAACAACAGATATAAAGCATCCCAGATGAAAAGAGAGGCAATACCTGTATGTACTCTCTCTGATATTTGTGAAAGTTACAGCAAAGTATTGTTGTAAATGTCATCTTTTTGATCGACCTGAAAACTTCGAGCAAAAAGATGACACTTTCAACAATACCCTGACAGATATCAGAGACAATACAGGTTTTTCCTCTCTTTTCCCCTGGAATACTTTTAATTTATTATTCTTTGTTTATCTAGATTTCTCTGTTGTAAATAAAATAAATAACTTACTATATCAAACACTTCCTCTTCTCTGTGAGTACACATACACCTTAAATTTTTAGGGCAATAACAAGAAAATGATCTTTCTTCAAGATTGTCAGTCTTGTCACGTGCTCTATCTTCACTGTTTCCTTCTCCAACATCAAAAGGCCTGACAGGAACGGCACCAATAGCCCAGGTATCTTTGGGTGATGGTTCAATAGGTACATCCGATGTCCAGCTTGAAGTTTTAATGTTCGGAACAGGATAGTGGTAGTAGCAGGAAATGGAAATGAACTTAACCAACGCATCGTAAGCACACTGAACCACGAATCTGATCGTTTGTTTCTTTATGTAGATGTCGTAGCATTCTTTCATTACCCTGTCCATCAGTTCCTCTCTGATTGAGTAGATGAAGTTGTCGGTTTCTTCTTGCTTGTAGACTTGGTCGAGAATTTCCTGATTCGATGACATTTCTAGGTTGATTTTTGTACAAATGTCATGTCATTTAGGCGGTATTCCGTTGCAAAACCATGCGAACCAGACCGGTAAACTACCGGAAATGTCAAATGTTGACGTTTTCTTTATTATAAAATTTATCTTTTATGCATTTTTAATGTACCTATTCTCTGCTTTTACGTTGACTTCTTCTTTTCAATGGAGTTTAATATTGAAAAGTACTTTACTAATAAACTGTTAAACTCGTTAAACAGCTCAAGTGAAGATTTCCAGGTCCAATATTAAAACAGATCAATAATAAATAAACAAATCTAATCAATATTTATATTTTTATAGCTTACAAAACATTCACGATTACTTGTTGCCTTGTTTTTCACCATTTCTTTAAATGTTCCTGACTTGGCTGCATGGTAAGTTTAAATGGTCCTAAAAAGTAATTCTATATAGTTAATGAAATTTATTTACCTTTACTGCCTACATCCATTGCTTTTGAATGTAAATACAAAATATTATTACAAATTTTAGAAATTAAATGAGAATTTCACTGGAACGTCCAATATTTGCTTGATTTCTGTCAGAGACTGACAAATCTCATTCTTTCATTCTGAAACTGAAAATTTTCACTTAAACTGATTTATATATTCCCTATACCACGTAAAGGGAACGTGGTGTAGGGAATAAATGAGTTTAAGTGAAAATTTGGCAGTTTCTTTCAGAACGAAAGAATACTACTAAGGGAAATTATAAAAAAAAGCAAAAGTTGTACTGTTTTTTAAACATATTTATTTATACATAAAAATAAATAAAGTTTTTATAATATAATAACAAAAAATAACAGTGTTTATTCCACCCACCTACCAATTTTAAATGCAGAAGAACTGACTGATGCAGGAAACGATCGGCCAATTTTTTTAAAGGGCATTAAAAATCTCATTTTCGAAAAAACTGCCTAATTGCAATAACAAAGTGAATATTCAAGCAAAGAAGACTTTACGAGAATTATGATCCTGAACCATTTTCAAGTCCAGTTTTAATCCTAAAACAAAAGTAAAACAGGTATATTAATAAAGTTTCTGATTACTATAAACCAGCTATAAACTACCTACCCAAAAAATGAAAAAAATTAATTGTATTAATTTATGTTAAGAGAGGTTCAAAATATTTTTGACACTAATACTTCTACTTCTTTCTTAATAAGATGATAAATATAACTACTTACTTTTATTTTACCGGGTGTCTTTAACATATCTATCAGAGAATGGGGTCACCAATACATATAAAAAAATAGATGATACTGGCTCCTGCAGCAAATAAAATAACAAATAGTATAACCGAAAATTATAAGTAACAAAATACAAATACCTATATGGAACAAAGGAATTTGTTCCCTATCCATATTCATAAGTCAATAAAATGGAAAGTTTAGAAAAAAAAGGTAAATCACCAAAAGAAAAATTAACAAACATGACGAATTGTCATGATGTTGTCATCTTGGTTGTCATGATGACGAAAACGAAAGGCGATTGTTCTAATTTCTATTTAGAGACTACGTTTTATATGGCTGCTTCTTTTTCTCTTGTTATATTAGAATGAGATAGTGGGCCCAATAGACGCAATGCGCAGATCAACATGAATAGAACGAAATTTTGCGCTCTGAGTTGCGCTACGGGAACGTTGTCCCTCTCTTTGCCATTTAATTTGTCAGTCTCTATTTATTTGTTTGTCTATGTTTCTGTCCAGGGGCGGGAAAGTGAAATCAAAGAATATACCTAGCTAGAAAAAGAATGGACTCTGCCATACTGAAAAATGGTCCTACAGAAGTGGCGCCATCTATTGAGTAGGGCTTGTCTTAAATGGATCGAAGCGCGGGCTTTTTAAATGAGCGTTTTTGTTGAATTTTACTCTAAAATAATTAAATTTGATTATTAAATCTTATTTTTTACACAAATTCAACAATACTAATAACAAGTATTGTTGTGATGTGTAAAAAATAAGACTTAACAGTATAATTTATACAATTATTAAATAAAATTAAAGCCAAACATGTGAAATATTATTTATTATTTAAAGTTCTTATTTATATAAATATAATAAGCATCGTTTATTATAATAAAACAAGACCAACGTAATACGCCCAACGTTTTGTAAATGGAGTAAATATAAATAGGTACTTAAATGATGGCAAATATAAAAGATTTACATTATATTTTTAGGGCCACAAACAAAAGGAATTGTCTAATTAAAACACATATAACAAATTATAGTTTGAAAAACGTTTTGATAATCATTTATTTGATAATATTATGATTGGCGCTATGACAACGACAATATTTTTTGAGAATTTGACAATAATATGACAATGACCGTTGGAAACTATGGAAACTATAAAAAAAATTCTGATTTAACGCCATCTGGCAATAACTAGTAGCAACTTCTTAACCTAAAAATTAATTGCACTACCACCTAGTGGCTAGGGCTGGAACTATTTTATTTGAGATTTCCGTGGAAACGGTGGAACCGCTTTTGCTATTTCACTTTCCCGCCCCTGAGTGAAATATCAAAAGCGGTTCCACCGTTTCCATGGAAATTTCAAATAAAATAGTTCCAGCCTCAGGCGCTAGGTGGTAGTGCAATTAATTTTTAGGTTAAGAAGTTGCTATTAGTTATTGCCAGATGGCGTTAAATCAGAATTTTTTTGTAGTTTCCATAGTTTCCAACGGCCATTGTCATACTATTGTCAAATTCTCAAAAATATTGACTGCATAGCGCCAATCATAATATTATCAAATGATTATCAAAACGCTTTTCAAACTATAATTTGTTATATGTGTTTTAATTGACACCTCCTTTGTTTGTGGCCCTAAAATATAATGTAAGTATTTTATTTTTGCCATCATTTAAGTACCTATTTATATTTACTCCATTTACAAAACTTTGGGCGTATTACGTTGGTCTTGTTTTATTATAATAAACGATGTTTAAATATTTGATTTATAAATAAAAACTTTAAAATAATAAATAATATTTACACATGTTTGGCTTTAATTTTATTTAATAATTGTATGAATTATACTGTTAAATCTTATTTTTTACACATCGCAGCGATACTTGTTATTAGTATTGTTGAATTTGTGTAAAAAATAAGATTTAATAAACAAATTTAATTATTTTAGAGTAAAATTCCATAAATACGCTAATTTAAAAAGCCCGCGCTTCGATCCATTTAAAACAAGCCCTACTCAATAGATGGCGCCACTTCTGTAGGACCATTTTTTAGTATGGCAGAGTCTTTGAATAAGAAGACTAAGGAAGGAGCATATCAAAAATCTTAGGTACACCGCGATGGGCCTCAAATATGGCCGACTTAAATTCCGGTTTATCAGTGTCGTTCTAATTTTATTTAAAAAATATAAAACTATGATGTAGGGTAGACGTCGGATAGACTCAATAATTTTTTGTTTTATTTTACGTTGTGAATAAATGTTGGTAGTTATTAAAATTGTTATAAAGATATATAATTCTAATAAAAAAAGTTATAATAAGTATTTATTAACACAAACATCCGATACGCTACTGAAGCAGGTAAGTCAAATTAACGTATCTAAATTCTTTGACATCTAATCTTTGACAAGTAATAAATAAAAGCTAAAATGCAAGAAAAATATATAATTTGGTTAATTTAAGTGAATTTCATAAATGATCGGTTTACTACACGTATGTATATTATATAGCACTTACTAGCGAAAAGTTGTTCCATTATTTCACTCAATTTTTGCCGAGATCTACCGCACGCTACACAACCAACTATTTTAGAGTCTTTTTCGATAAATCGCGATAGTGTCACTGTTAATTTAAGTTCTGCCACAATTTCCATCTAGATGTACTACCTTTATACAACTATCAGTAGTAGAATAAATAATAAATAACATAAAATAAGCTCCGTAAAGACTGACAAATCCACAAAATTTCAAATCAAATTCAAATGTGTCAAATGAATCGTCAAACAGAACTGTCAAAGATCCCCACCCTAGAGAGCTTTTATGGTGGCTTTTCCGCCCACCATGCATGAATACATGGATAGCATTATACTCCTTCCTTAGTCTTCTTATTCAAAGGGCAGAGTCCATTCTTTTTCTAGCTTGTTTCTTTGTTTCTGTCGCATAAATGACATTGATTGACAAACAAAACCAGAAAAACCAGCCTTCTCGCGCTGGTTAGTTTGGTGCATAGATAAATGCAACAAGTTTAGATTGGAAAGCCCGTAAAAATTTTAGGTCGCGAAATTATTTTGGGTCGCGACCGTTATACGCGATCTGGCGCTGCTATAGCGGTCGCTAAGAACAACGGCAAACAAAAACAGAAATAATTTTCTCTTGTCAAAGTCAGAATTTTCAAAAATCATAATAATCTTTCAAAATCTAAACCGCTATCATTAAAGAAATCCCGAAAAGTGTTTATAGCGTCCATTTTCAAAGTAATTATTGCTATCTTGTGAGTTTAATTCGAGTTTTATTTACTCCAACCGGTGATAATTGTGAAAAAGTGGCATTAAAAACTTAAAAAGCTGTGCTGTGAACTGTGAACAGCAAAAACCATCGTGGATCGTGGATCGTGGCATAACGTCGGTTTCCAATGTTTTCCAGGTATTTCATACATGCGTCCTTATATAAAATAAAGTTTCTTGTATGCAACACACTGTATTTTATTTATAAAATTAAACGAAAATAATAATAAATTTGAATAAACCTTTGAATAAGAAGACTAAGGAAGGAGCATAATGCTATCCATGTATTCATGCATAGTGGGCGGAAAAGCCACCATAAAAGCTCTCTAGGGTGGGGATCCTTGACAGTTCTGTTTGACGATTCATTTGACACATTTGAATTTGATTTGAAATTTTGTGGATTTGTCAGTCTTTAGGAAGCTTATTTTATGTTATTTATTATTTATTCTACTACTGATAGTTGTATAAAGGTAGTACATCTAGATGGAAATTGTGGCAGAACTTAAATTAACAGTGACACTATCGCGATTTATCGAAAAAGACTC